TGCAAAACTCTATGAAGGGTGATAGTGGGTGACAGTTTAATAGACCCAATGGATTCAATCGCAGCCTGTCCACCATTTGGTAACCCAACAAAATCATGTTGGGGTCTAGTGTGATTATGGATGGGTGACGAGTGAGAAATATGATCTGTGGCTCCGCTATCTACGATCCAACAGGTTGTTGAATGCGGAGAATGTTGTGTAAAGTTGCAGTTGGGCGTATAGATACATGTTGCATGTGCAAGCGGCAGATTGGTACCATTCTTATTGCGAATGAGGGCCATGAGTTGATGATATTCCTCGGTTGTGAACGTTGGTTGATTGCTGGAGATGGGTACTTTGGTTGCGTCAATCTGAGCAGTTGTCAATGGGAGCGTTTCAACATTGTTGGAGGCTGGAGGTGTACGCCTATTTCTGGGCTGCACATTCTTTCCGTGCCATTTGTGTCCTTCAGGGAAGCCAATAAGAAAAAAATAACGTTCAACTGGATGTCCTCCGTCACAGTAGCTGCATTTGAAAGTCTTTCGTGAACTAGGGTTGTGGGTGCCATAGCCTCATTTTGGTGCTGTTGAACGACTGGATTGCATTGCATGGGTAGTGGGTTCACGACGATTCACCACATCCAATTGGCGTTCGTGTTGGAGAACCAATCCATGGACTCGTCGTGTATCCGGGAGTGGGCTCATCATCAATATAGAGCCTCGTATGGTGGAGTAGTTATGTTCAGTCCCATTAAGAACTGCATGACTCTCTCTTTTTCTTCCCTGTTTGCATGCGCCTTGGATCCTTCGCATTCACAAGCAATGGGCTCATGGTATGATGCTAATTCATCCCAAAGAGCTTTTAATTTTGTGTAATAATCTGAAACAGATAGTTGTCCTTGTCGGTGTTTGACAATTTCTTGTCGGATTTGATAGATCCTGGAATCGTTGCCTTGCGAGAATCGATCCTCAAGATCCCTCCATGCTGCTGTCGCAGTTTTGCAGTAGAGTATATTGTGAGCAATGTTGCCTTGTACAGATTGCCAAATCCAAGATAAGACCATGTCGTTGCATCTCTGCCAAATTGAATATTTAGCATCAGTGGTTGCAGGGTTCTTGATTGAACCATCAACAAACCCTAGCTTATTTTTGGCGCTGAGAGCAATTCGCATGGAGCGGCTCCATTGTCCATAGTTGTGTCCATCGAGAAGTTGTGAGACTAAAACAAGACTTGGTGAGTCTGAATGATGTAGAATGAGAGGATCAGATACATGAGGTATCATCTGGTCGTCCATGGTGGCTGGGTTTGATGAAGAGAAACTGGTTGTGTTTGTGGCGGAAGCAAAAATGAGCCTTCCAGAGTCACCAAGATCGGTGCTCTGATACCATATAAATTATTTGGATCCAATATATTTGAATTAATGTTCTGCTACAATAGCAGCAGAACTTATATACAAGATTATTGCAGAGTCATGCAATAAACAAAGGGCAGAAAGTGGCATCCATGCTGTCCTTGTTGAAGCAGTCAGCAACCACATGCAGTGGCATTGCTGTCCACGTTAATAGTGCATCCACACATGCGAAGGAATGATCATATTCCTTCTGTCCAGCGTGTGAGTAGAGCACCTTTAACACACACACAACACACCATACACGTGCACACACATGCATGCACTACACCACACACATGCATGCACACACACCGTACATTCACACGCATACACACACTCACCCCCACAACACACATACATATACTTACACACCACACACACATACGTGCACTACATACACACACAACTACACCCCGTACACACTGCACAAACACATACTCACGAACTCGCCGGAGTTCGTCGTCGGAACCGGACATGCATGCACAAGGGATGGCAAGGGTTTGGGCTTGAATAAAGGGTTCTAAAACTTCAGAAATATACATAAGAACTTACCCAGAAATTTGAAGAAGGAACACCATTCTCACCTGGGTTCGAGTTTTAGAAAAACCCACGGTGCTCAGATGGCGCATGCAAGGGTACCATTGAGTTCGTTAGGTCTTAATGATTCCAAATCGATGGTTTTTGGGGTTTGATTTGTGAAGGAAGTGAGGTGAAAGTTAGAGAGAAGCTCTCGGAGCTTGGACAGTGAGAGAGAGAGAGAGAGAAGAAACTGAAAAAAAAAATAAACAAAAGAGAAAGGTTCTGTGATGGGGAGTGTTTCGGGAATAGAGGGAAGAAGGGAGAGATATGAGAGCTGCCACATGGCAGTCTAAGAGAGACAACATTTCTAGATCAAGGGTTAGGATTAAAAGAGAATAAGGGACTAAATTGATAGATAACAAATATGTTCTAGGGGAAAAATAGAAATAGGATGAAAAATGGGGGTGGAGTTTAACACATTCTTCAACACACTTCTTAGTGTGTTTTGGATAAAGGGCTGGCTTCTCCATAATCTTGACACCTTGGAGTCGAAGTACGAATCGTGCTGTCAGCTGCTTTGAAGAGGATGAGTTTTTTTCCTGTTGGCGAGTGCCTTCCTTTTGCCAAAAAAAATTACCGAGTTATAGTACGAGGAACAAGATTGGAAGAACTTTCCCATTTTTCCATGAAATATGCGACTCCAATCCTTGAAGAAGACATCTAAGACTTGCCAAAACATCGTCACCATCACCCTTGTGTTATTGGCACTTCAAAAGCGAAGAAAGAACACCCCAAACCCCTCTCTTCCATTCGTATGGTACTGTTCATCGTCTTCCTTGATGAGTTTCTTGATTTTCCAACGTTGGTAAGCTTCTAAAAACCCTTGGGAAGTGTTTTAGGGTTAGATTGAAGCTTTTTTTAAGTTGTATATACATTTGAATCACAGCAAATAGCTTGAGGAAGCTTTTCCAAATTTTCTGGCGAGCACCGCCCCTTTCGAGACAATTTCCGGCCAAACCACGGCGAGTTAGACGTCGTACGAACTCTTCTTCTCTTCGAGGGATACAACTTTCATTTTTTAATCACTCGATTTCGTTGAGTTTTGACAAAGTTATGAACGTTTAAAGCTAAGGAACTTTTCGGCCGAATTCCGACCTTCTCTTTCAAATGGGTCCGGCGACCCACAATTGGAACTCGGGCTGGGCTTTCAAGACCCAAAGCCCTTTCGAACCAGGCCTTTGGGCCGTTGAGCCTAAGCCCAAAACCTTAAGGCAACCCAATCTTTTTATTTTGTTATTTATTTTATTTGTTTATTTTCTGTTAGAAACCCAAAGGCCCTTGGGCCATTCAGTTAGGGCCTTAGGCCCGTGGACTCTTTTAACCCTTAAAACTCTAAGCCCTTTTTCCCTTAAACCCCAACCCAAATCCTTTTGTTTTTATTTATATTAATTGTTTGAAACTAAACCCAAACTCTTAAAGTCCAACCATTTCATCAAACGACTATAATTATTATAACTTAAAGGGACTCATCTATTTGTAGCCGTTGGATTTTCATCCAACGGCTCACGTGTGTTGGTTAGGAGGATCTTCTCCTTGGGCTTAGGAGAGGATCCAAATCCCATGAAGACCATGCATCCTGACAATTCTGATCAACCCCCACGCTACTCCAATTCGATGACAAGAATCCCAAGCCCAAGTGCATGCTTGGAGATATAATTTGCATTCTATTGATTATCCAATATGAGAAAATATCAAGATAATTCATATTAAAAGATAATATTATAATTGAAAATAATAATATTGGGAATTGTTATTAACACTCCAAAAATCTCATTCTACACTTCAAACTTTCTATATTGGGAAAGAAAAATACACTTGTGAGGAGTTTAGAATAAGATTTTTGGAGTGCCAATAGCACTTCCCATAATATTATCTCTTAACAATAATAAATTATCTTAGCATTCCAATCCAATTAACGATTCAAAATTTTGCACACTCAACGGTCTCGACTGCTCAGGTCGATGATGCAAAATCGAGTACAAACAATATCATAAAAAGTTTAAAAACTTTTAGATACTAAGTTTTGGGGGAATACATAAATGGACGGAGAAGATAATTTTTCATTTTTCATAAGTCTCCATCACTCGAAGACTTGTAGTCTTTGTTTGATCATGGAGAGCTGGTTTCCATCTTTTCCCAATTCTGTATGTTTTCTATCTTTTCCCATTTCTGTCCTACTCCTGCCCCACTGAGAACATGAACTTCAGATTTGACAGCACCTGTATCCGTCCTCTAATTTGGATTCACTTTCCACATTTTCCAGCTACTATGGAGGTTAAAGTGAAGACGACATTCGAACTCTGATCAGATGCAAAAGTAAATGCTGGAAGGCTTCATTACCATTCTTTGTACTTTGCTTGTCCTTTGTTAATGTACCTTTCTGTAAGTTACTTAGTTGGCGCTATTGTTGAATTTTGACTCGTACACGTGAATGGTCAGCAAACGTGCGAGTCATGCTCATACTTACGTAGTCTTTTTGGTTTGGAAGATTCAAATATGTCACGTTATATAATCGAACCTAGAACCTAGAGTGTAGTGGTAAATATTCTTAACTACTTAAATTACAAGTTCTTTGCTGGTTTGGGACATTTATAAGTGCTTAAGTAGAATTGTGAAATGGGTGAGGGACAAGACTAGGATGAAAAGAGATTCGAGAGAGACGCAGCCCATTGTTAATAACATCAATATTGCCCCAACTTGCTTCGCCTTACCACCTATTAGCAGAGTAGGTATGAAGTTTTATCTCAAAAGATCTTGGTGCCGTTACGTAAAGAACTTATTCAATATTATAATTTTCTCAATTTTCCAAAAGAGAATTCCTACATTTTGAACATGTAATCCGGCCACGACATCTGTAGGGTCGGATAAATTTTTATGTGCGATCGTAGGGGTCATATCGTGGCTGCTGATGGTTAACATTGACTTGGAAAAGAAATGTGGTACACACATCTAATTCCAGGAAGAAACTTGAGACAAAGACATGCATGGAGATTAGTCAAGCCTAAACTATGGTACACATGCATTTCCATCAAGAAATTTCAAGGAAACAATGCTTCATTGATATATATATTGCTAATTAAGCTAGGTCGAAATATTGGTGCATTTGCAATGGCAATGACTTTTCCTGTACGGATGCTTTTGTTCACCTCATTGTTTTTGCTACCAATTTCTGTGTTTTCCCAAAATAATGGAAGAGTAGCAGTTGGAGATTCTCTAACTGCAACTACAGGTGACTCCTCATCATGGCTTTATCCATCCGGTGATTTCGCATTTGGATTTAAGCCCCTCGGAAACAATGATCGTTTCTTGCTTTCTATATGGTATGCGAAAATCCCAGAAACCGTAGTTTGGTATAACAGCCCCGTGGTTACACCTTGGGGATCAATTTTGAACTTGACTGCCGACAGTGGACTAGTTCTTAACAATCCTCAGGGTGGAGAGATATGGAAATCCCCTATAACTTCCGGGGTTGTTGCGAACGTGGTCATGAATGACACTGGAAACTTCGTCCTTCAAGATGAAAACTCGGGGAGCTTATGGGAGACCTTCAACAATCCTACAGACACCGTTTTGCCTGGACAGACAATTGAGAGAAAAGGGAAGCTTTCGTGTAAGCAATCGGAGGCTAATTACGAAAAAGGGCGGTTCCAGCTGCGCTTGCAAGATGATGGAAACCTCGTGCTCAACACCGTAAACTTGCCCACAGATTATGCCAACAAAGCCTTACTATGCCACAGGCACATTCTCGGGGGCTGAGGATGGTAGTAAAGGTAAACAATTGGTGTTCAACAGCTCAGGGGACATGTTTGTTCTGACAGAAAATGGGGGAATACACACTCTCACAGGGACACAGGGAGTCTCGGTGAGGGACAACTACATAAGGGCAACTCTTGATTTTGATGGGATTTTCGCACTATATTCTCACCCGAAAAATTTCACTGGAAATGCAAGCTGGAGGAGTCCCCTGTGGTATAAGCCGGATGATATTTGCCAAGCACTTTTGGAAGACGAGGGCGTTGGTGTCTGCGGATACAACAGTGTCTGTAAGATCAACCCAGACAAAAGGCCAACCTGCGATTGCCCAAAAGGATTTTCGTTTTCTTGATCCCAAGGACAAATACCGAAGGCTGTAAACCCGATTTTATACAAGGCTGTGAAGAAGATAAGCTACAAAGTCCTAGAAAAGATTTGTATGATGTCGAAGTGCTGACAGATACTGATTGGCCAACCTCAGATTATGTGCAGCTGAAGCCTTTTACCGCGGACAAGTGCAATGAATCTTGCTTTCAAGACTGTTTGTGCGCTGTTGCTGTTTTCAGGCTTGATACCTGCTGGAAAAAGAAGTTACCTCTGTCAAACGGGAGAGTGGACGAAAATCTTAATTCACAGACCTTCATCAAAGTCCGAAAGGATAATGTAAATCTGCAGTTTCCTCCAATGCCAATTCCAGATGATAAAGAGAAGAGCAAGACCAAACTGATACATGTGGTATCAGCACTATTAGGTATGACACGCCCCGACCCTGATATTTCCCCGAATATCAGGGTAGGCACGTGCTGGCCGACACCCGAGGGTGACGAAAGCCATTAATTGATACAAAAGCTAGGAATAAGAAATAAATACGGGTTATGAATTTAAAAACAATGAATTAACAATTTAGGAACGTGTTCAGAGCATACAACTAAACATAGTCACTAACAAGAATTAAGATAAGATTGAATGAACAAGGAGTAGGTCCTACCCCGAGAGGACTCGAAGATGCTGCTGCGGAAGTGCCTTGACGCCGGGATCATGTGCCTTGATCCTAAATCCTGAATGGGGGCGCAAAACAAGGGTGAGTGGACCAAGTTTATATACATACATAGTACGAAAACAGTTACAAACATACTAACCCCCACAGTTTAATAATGAAAACTACTAGAATAATAAGTGATAAGCTTTTCAGAAAAACTCTAGCATGCCATAAAACAATTCATAATATCCATCTGCAAATCAATCTCAGAAAATCATATCAGAAATCGTATCAGGAAGCATAACACAAGTTGTGCTGCTAGTGAGTGCACTGAATAATAATACTCCCGGCCCAATGCCTGCACCTCAGTCTCTGTGCCCGTAGCCAGAGATATCTCCCTCCCGGCCCAATGCCTGTCTCCGTGTCCCTCAGCCTTTCGCTAGGGATTATTTCTCCCGGCCTCAATGCCAACACCAGATCCTCGCCCCAGGCGGCATAGTGTTCACTAGGTACGCACAAAACATAATTCATCTCTAAAATACAACTTCGTAGCATAAATTCATCGATCCTCTATACTACGAAGAGGTGTTCGAAAGTCATTTGAAACACGTTCTTAGCATCCTATCGTCATCGATCAGATAGTCTACCAGAATGAGGGTTCTATAGAAAATACGATATAATGGAATTAGTTCAAAACATATATATATAATCACGTATAATCAAATCATCATGCTTCCTGTAAAGTATTCCTCAAATCAATAATTCTGCAAGGCATGCTATTTATATATGCAATTCTATAAATAAAACATGCAATTTTTGAAGGTGGTCCACTCACAGATACTCCGAAGCAGCAGAATTGTGTGGAAAACGATTAAGGAAGTCTCCACTAGCAACTTCACCTAAGCACGAAAATGTACAATTTAATAAACTACCTAAAAGATAGAATTTTAGGAAATGGAAATGGGTTTTGGGTTTGGGTAGGTTAGGATCAAGAGGTGGTTTGGGCTTGAGCCCAACCCATACTTATACACACACGGCACACACACCACACATTCACACACATACATACACAACACATACTCACACAGCTGCACCGCATAACGCACACACTGTACACTTCATACAATACACAAACATACACAACACACACGTGCACCATACACCATCACACTTACTCTCACACACACACACACTTGCACGGACACCAACATGCCAAACACACACACAGACAGCATGCACATATATATATATATATATATATATACAAATATACACACAGAGGCAACATGCATATATATATATATATATATATATATATATATATATATATATATAGATACATACATATAAACACACACGCATGCACAGCATGCATATATATATAAGCACACACACGCACAGCATCATGCATATATATATATATATATAATCACACACACGCACAGTAAGCATACTTACACACACACACACACGGTTCACGCACACACACTTGCACAACGTATACACTGCACAAACGCACACTCACGAACTCGCCGGAGTTCGTCGTCGGAACCGGACATGCATGCACAAGGGATGGTAAGAGTTAGGGCTTGAATAAGGGGTTCTAAAACTTCACAAATATACCTAAGAACTCACCTAGACGCACTGCAGCAGGTTTTGGGAAGAAATGGACCTCGAACTCGTCGGAGCTAGATTATTGACACAGAGAAAAACTGAGCTCAAAACCCTTGAGTTTTGTCATAAAAACAACATGCATAACCCAGAAATTTGAAGAAGGAACACAATCTTTACCTGGGTTCGAGTTTTAGAGCTTTGAAGCTCTCGGCTTCAATGGCAGAAAAACCCACGGTGCTCAGATGGCGCATGCAAGGGTACCATTGAGTTCGTTAGGTCTCAAGGATTCCAAATATATGGTTTTTGGGGTTTGATTTGTGAAGGAAGTGAGGTGAAAGTTAGAGAGAAGCTCTCGGAGCTTAGAGAGTGTGAGAGTTTTTGAGAGTTAGAGAGAGAGAGAGAAACACAAAAAGAGAGGTTCTGAGATGTGTTTCGGGAAGAGAGGGAAGAAGGGAGAGATCTGAGAGCTGCCACATGGCAGTCTAAGAGAGACAACATTTCTAGATCAAAGGTTAGGATTAAAAGAGAATAAGGGACTAAATTGATAGATAACAAATATGTTCTAGGGGAAAAATAGAAATAGGATGAAAATGGGGGTGGGGTTTAACAAGGTACCTCCATCTTTGTTAATGTTGCTGCTCTCTGCCTCGGTTTTTTATTCATATTCCGGAAGAAACCTGTAAGATCTAGTACCGATATTGTTTTCGACTCGAATTTGCGCTCTTTTAGCTATGAAGAGCTACAAGAAGCTACAAATGGATTCAAGGAAGAATTAGGAAAGGGTGCTTTTGGAGTGGTTTTCAAAGGGGTGATGCAAATTGGTTTTGGTGTCGAAGTGGCGGTGAAGAAGCTACGCTATGTTATGCAAGATGTCGAGAAGGAGTTTAAAACAGAACTGAATGTAATTGGTAAGACGCATCATAAGAATCTGGTTCGTCTTTTCGGATATTGTGACGAGGGGCAACAGAGAATGGTAGTTTATGAGTTCTTGAGCAATGGCACACTGGCAAGCTTTCTTTTTTCAGATATCAAACCAAGTTGGAAACAGCGAATTGAAATCGCTTATGGCATTGCGAAAGGGCTTTTGTACTTGCATGAAGAGTGCAGCACGCAGATTATCCATTGTGACATAAAGCCACAGAACATACTTCTCGATGATTATTACACTCCTCGGATTCTGATTTTGGATTAGCAAAACTTTTGATGATGAATCAGAGCCAGACTCATACCGCTATCCGAGGAACAAAAGGTTATGTTGCACCTGAGTGGTTCAGGAACTTGGCAATCACTACCAAAGTTGATGTGTACAGCTTTGGTGTTGTGCTGCTGGAGATTATTTGTTGTAGGAGAAATGTTGATGTGGAAGGTAACTTGGAAGAGAGAGCAATTTTAACGGATTGGGTTTATGATTGCTACGTTGAAGGAGTATTAGATGCTGTTGTAGATCATGAAGTTGAGGCCTTGGGTGATCGAGCGACACTGGAAAAGTTTGTGATGGTTGGGATTTGGTGCATTCAGGAAGATCCTTCTCTTAGGCCTACTATGAGGAGGGTTGTGCAGATGTTTGAAGCAGTTGTCGAAGTGCATGTTCCACCATGTCCATCTCCATATACCAGAGCAGGCTGAAGCCGCCATTAGTTGTATCGCAGCCAAGGTATAATTTATTGTCACAGTAGTAGCTAGCTTGTTTCCTGTTTGTCAAACTATCTTTAGTTTACCGACTTGTAGTTTTGTAGTGTGATGATTTAGATCAAGACCGTTGAAAGAATGCTTTATGTATGTAACTCTTGTTTATGATCTTTTATGAATGATAAAGTGATTCTTATATCTACACTTTGATTTGGTTTTGCTGCTACCAATTTGCTTATACTCTACCCAAGCAGACGACACTTGCTTCATTGGAATCCTCCTAAAAGAACAAATGAATAGAGGCCATCAATTAGACATCAAAAAAATAAGTCACAAGTGAGACACCTCGAATCTTCTCCCTTCTTCCCCAACACAACGAACCCTAGATCTGCAACAACCAAGGCTACCGGCCCATTGCTCCGGCTTGAGGTCGGTGGCCGCCTTTGTTCTTCCTCTACCTAGCCTATCTCTAATTCTCTGCCACTCCACCCCCTCCTAGCCACCCCTCTTCGTTTTCCCTCCGCCGCGCCTTTTCTCACCTCCATCAGTGCTCTAAGCACCTGTTCTCTCCACCGTTTTATAGGCAACCATTTTTTCATGGCTTTGTTTGAGCCTCCTCCCCAAAATCGAGATCTTCATTCCTCCCAAGGGATTTTCACTTGAATTGGGGCTTGATACGTGGCTTTGGGTCGGTTGGTTTCTTGGTTGTTACGGGTCAGATCCACCTTCTTTGGCTTTATTTTCAGGGTGGAGTTCTCTGTAAGCAGTTTGTGGCGGTGCCGCCTTACCTGGCCAGATCTGTGGCTTCTCCACTTGCTTGGCTAGCGGTTGCCGCAGATCTCCCTAGATGCAAGTCTTGGTGGTCTTGGCTAGAGTTTCCTAATTCTCAGTGTGGAGATGAGCAATTGGTGGATTCCGTTCTCAAAGTAGGGTCGGTTTACTGTAGGGTTGTTGTTTGTACCACAACTAGGGGTGATGTGTCGCCTAGCGAGTATGTAACCTCGCTTATCAACGATGATTTGATGTGGTTTAGCACTTCTAACTAAACCAGGTGTGCAATCCATAAGTGTGATTTTTATATAATATTATGGCCTCAAAGCAATTAGTAGTTGAATGCGGAAAGCCAGAAGAAGAACAAACCCCTTCTTTGTTGGTTTAGACATAAGGGGATTTAAAAAGTTTCCGAAGGACATTCTTCAACACACTTCTTAGTGTGTTTTGGACAAAGGGCTGGCTTCTCCATAATCTTGACACCTTGGAGTTTAAGTACCAATCGTGCTGTCAGCTGCTTTGAAGAGGAAGAGTTTTTTTCCTGTTGGGCGAGTGCCTTCATTTTGCCAAAAAAATACCAAGTAATAGTGCGAGGAAGAAGATTGGAAGAACTTTCCCATTATTCCATGAAGTATGCGACCCCAATCCTCGGGAGACATCTAAGACTTGCCAAAACGTGTTTTTGTGAAATTTTCTAGACCAAGTAGGATTTCTACAGTACTCATTTTATTCGAATTTGCTTTTATGTCCAAGTTTTTATTTTACTTTGGGATAGTTGTCTAAACCCTGTATATATGAGACCGGCAGCCGGTGGAAGGACCATACGAGGGAGAAGTCGGAAACCGGAGAGAGATATTGGGAGTTTAGGAGGAGTCAAATTCATTAAAGGTTTTATTTTTTTTCTCTTACGTTTTTGCTTACTAAAATTATCACGACTCAGTATCTTCTTTCTACTAGGGCATGTGCAAATGACAATTAATTTTTTTTTTTTTGAACAAATGATATTATCTTATTTCTACTAGGGCATGTGCAACAGTAGATGACAATTTTTTTTTAACAAACGATATTATCTATAGGGGAGGAGGTGGGTTTAGCCTTATAATGAGCTAGCAATAATGTGGTTCAAATTCTTTTTGTCGAGAATCGAATCTAAGACCTCTCACTTACAAGTGAAGAGGAATATCACTAAATCGTAGTACTAAGTGGCTAGTATGACAATCTATTGATTATATATCTCTACAATGTTGTATTCTTAATAATTGTGAAGCAATTCTAGGTTAATTAAGAGTTAATTCTAGGTTAGAATGTTTTTTTTGTCAGATAATAGATTTTGTTAGATTAGATGTTAGATTAGCCACCGACAGGGTTTGAACCCACACTGACATGCAAGAGCTTAACATCTTTTCACCACTGTGGTAAAAAGTCACTTACAATTCTAGGTTGGAAGTTGAATTCAAGGTTAAAATTTTAATCAATCTGTCGGAATGACCTCGTGCTTGCCATGGTAAATTGGGCGTGATCTTGTGCACTTGCGATTATAGTTTGTTTTCAGATTGATCTATATCTCTATTTTTTTCAATATATCTAAAATACACAAGTTTTTGGCATCGCTGCAAGATTGTGGGCTTTACTTTGAATTAAATTTTACGTTAATTTCACTGACAATTTTTATGTTTTCCGGTATATCATAGCAACTGCTCCTACCCGTACTTAAGCCAGAGGAGGAGCTAGAAGAAGAACAAGAGGAGTTCGATGGCGTCATAACCTCCTGCTGCTCCCCCTCGTGCCTTAAAGGACTACTTGATGCCAACATTCGACTGTCGATCATGCATTGTTATACCGGAGGTATACAAGATTCATTTCAATTGGACCTTGAATGGATTCAGATGTTGCCTACCTTTTACGGGATGTCTGACGAAAATCCTACCTGCACATTTACGAGTTCATGACTTATGTAAGATTTTCGGAATCAACTAGGTCAATCAAGAGGTTGTGAGATTGAAGCTGTTCCCTATTTCGCTGAAAGATAAAGCCAATTCATGGCTCTACTCTTTGCCGCCCGAATCCATCCAATTGGGAGCAATTAGCACAGAAATTCCTCGAGAAATACTTTACCCGGCATAAAATAATCCAACGAAGGAGAGAAATCATTGTTGGAAGCTAACCATCTCCTGGAGTCGAGGGGTCGAAGGCAACAAGGAGCTCCTGAGCAAAGGGTGTTGTCTGCATCAAAGAAGAAAGAAGAAGAAATGAAGGGTTGGCCTCCAACTGCTAGTTTTTTGTTTAAATGTGTGAGTGACAAATGTACACTCCATATTAGATCACTTAAATCTCAATGAAAGGCTAGGATTTAATCTGGAGTAGTAAGGTGATTTTAGTGTTTAAATATTGTCTAATCACCAACTCTTTTACACAAGTATGGGTGATGGAAATGTACCATACCCTTAAACATTTTCTCTACTTAATGAAGTATGGCTGCTGCATTTTCTGCACAACCAAGAAGTTGAAAACAACACTCCAATATCCTCTCAATTCTCTACATTCTACCCCCAAGAAACCGATCAAAAAACATAACCAAAAATCATCAAAACAAACAAACTTTATCATGGCCTCAGAGCTCAGTTTCTGATTTGAAAACTTTCTGGGCGTAATCTGTGAAAGTTAAGACTTTTGGGAGCACCAACGAAGTGTCCTCAACAACAACAATTAACAAACAATTCTGAAAATGAAGGGATCCAACAGTAACAGTGAGCTAAAAGCTCTAGTCTTTGATAGGGAGAATTATGATTTTTGGAGAATAAGAATGACAACCCTTTTCAAATCCTATGATTTATGGGATATGGTTCAACACGAGTATGAACTACCTGAGATGGAGATCAATGCTCTAAGAGGAGGATCTCACTGAAACACAACTCAAAACACTGAAGTATAATCAGACGGACGATGCTAGAGCACTTGGAATCATTCAAGGTGCTGTCTTAGACACCATTTTCCTGAGGATAGCAAATGAACTGCAAATGGAGCTTGGGAAGTTTTATAGCAAGAGTACAGAGGAAACACTAAAGTCAGAAAGGTAAAACTTTAGTCCCTTAGAAGAGATTTCGAGTATACAAGAATGAGGGAAAATGAGCTGTTAAAAGACTACTTCACTAGGCTGTTTGATGTTGTAAACAAGATGAAACACATATGGTGAGGAACTGCCTAATGAAAGAATTGTCCAAAAACTGTTAATTAGTTTGACTAACCCTATTATTCAATAGTGAGTGTTATTGAAGAAACCAAAGACACTGAAACTCTCAGTGTGCAAGATGTGATGGCATCCTTAAGAGCTTTTGACCAAAGACTCGAGAGGCATGCTAATTTTGCACCTGAGAAAGCCTTTCAATCAATCAATGTTGGATCTGGTAGTCAAGCCAGTGCAAGTAATCAGAAACCACAGTGGAAGGGCAAGAACAAGAAATGGGAAGGAAAAGGGTATCACAACTCTAGACCTAACCAAGGTAGCAACATTAATGCAGGTCCAAGAACCAAACAACAATGCAAGCATTGCGACAAATTTCATCTTGGAGAGTGTTGGTTCAAAGATAAGCCTAAGTGCCACAAATGCAACAGGTTGAGGACATTATGAAGGACTACAGATCAAAGAATGTGCAGCAAGTGAACTGTGCAAACCAAGTGAAGGAAGAAGCAAATGTGTTCTGTGCTTTCAATGCAAAAATGGAGAAAAACAATGAAGTGTGGTACATTGATAGTGGCTCCATCAACCATATGACTGCACATGAGTCATTACTCATTGACATTGACACAAACTTCATTGGAAAAGTGAAAATGGGAGATGGAAACATTGTCAAGGCCACTGGAAGAGGAACTTTGGTTATCAACACCAAGAAAGGAAGAAGATGCATAAGGGAGGTGATGCTAGTGCCAGGACTTGATGAAAACCTACTTAGTGTGGGTCAAATGATGGAGCATGGGTATTTCCTACTCTTTGGGGGAACTGTGGTTGAGATCTATGATGACAGATCCCTATCAAATTTGGTGACCAAAGTGGAAGCGAAAAACAAAAGCTTTCCACTTATGTTGAAGTATTTAGAAGAAGTGGAAAGGAAAGCAAGTGTGACAGGTTCTATGAAACTATGGCACAAGATGTTTGGTCACTTAAACATGACAAGCCTAGAAAATCTACAAAAGTATGAAATGGTACAAGGGATACCTAAGATGGATCACTACAATGAAACCTGTGAAGGATGTGCATTTGGGAAGCATCACAGGGATCCATTTAAGTTGGCAAGGCTTGGAGGGCAACAAAGCCACTCGAATTGATTCACACATATGTGTGTGGACCAATGCAAACAACAACAATCAGTGGAAACATGTATTTCCTAACCTTCATTGATGACTACTCAAGGATGTGTTGGTGTATTTCATGAGGT